GTGAGGGCTGGGGGAGTGCCACCACCATCCTCCCCTTCCACCTCTCCCACGTCAGCCTTGCCAGACCCACATCTCTTGGGCAAAACAATTGCTTTAAAGGGAATGAAAGGCGAACGAAAGGTCAGGAGTGCCAGGTGGAGGGGTAGGTGAAGGAGGGAGGGCGTGGGCGTGTTAGAACAGAGACACCCTGTTCCGTTTGAAGCTGGGATGGGGCCCAGGACATGATGTACTTGTCAAAGGCCCCAGGACTGCCGTGCAGAGAGTGGCCCCTGGGCCAGCTGGGGACTGACTGTAAATGCCAATCAAACCCTCTGTGGTGACTCACAGGGACCCTACAGGACAGGGTAAAACTGGCCCTGCGGGTTTCTGAGACTGTAAGCCTTCATGCGTGTTCGAAGCCTCATCTTTCTCCCGAGGAGTGGCTGGTGTTTTTGAAATGCTGACCTTGCGGGTAGCAGCCCACTTAACTGTCAGCAATGGGGCAGGGAAGGGAGGGGCGGGGGTGGGTACTCTCTGCTGTCTCTCTGATGCGTCATCAGAACAAGGCAGAGGCTCGTTTTGACCGGAAGCTTTGAGATGGCAGCTCCCTCCAGGTGCAGAGCCCAGTGCCAGTCCGGCCTGCTGTGAGGAGGCAGGGCCCAGAACTGGAGGAAGTAGGCCCAGCCCCCAGCTCAGGCACCCCTGTCACCTGGGTCAGCCTTAGGGACACCCGCTCCTTTCTCGTCCTTGAGTCTTTGCACCGCATAATGGGGGGAGGGGCTCCCCTACTGCAGATGAGGGCTGCTGGCCTGGCCGTGGCCACTCACGTGGGTATGTCTGAAAAGACCAGGAGACAGCCCACCAGGAACACCAGGCTGCCCACCACGGCTGCGGGCAGCAACCAGCCTGTGTAGAAACCTGTGGGCCGGGGGGTGGGGGTGGGGCATGGAGTCAGCCAGGGATGTTGGGGACCTGGGGGGGTATGCAGGGGTCAGCCAGCAACCTGGTGGGGGTGCCCGGGGCTATGTCAGCGAGCATGGAAATAGCCAGTGGATGTTCGGAGAGAAGGATGGACAAGGGGGCGGACACAGAAGGGGACCCAAGTACAGGCAGGGGTGAGTGGGGTAGGAGGGACTCACAGCAGAGAAGGGGGACAGAGGACCCCTTACAGCTGCCCAGGAAGTAGCCTCTTTGGAGGGATTAGGGAGTACTGGGTGAGTGGGGGTCAGCCCCACTAGGCAGGTTGGGGTTGGGATTGGTGCCCCCCATGGCAGCGGACGTCTGGGAGGAGAACTCACTGGGGAGGAGAAGGGTGGACAGGTCCCCCTCCCTCACATGGGCACCAGTACCCTTGTGCCAGGGATGTACCCGACAGGCTGAGCAGGCACACTCACCGAGCCAGGCGAAGTAGAGGGCCACCTTCTCCCCGAAGTAGCCACGCACGTGGTCCAATGGCTGGTACTTGTTCCACTTCCCCCAGCGGGCCCAGTGCCGGCCCAGCAGCTGACGCTGGCTGAGGGCCTGGGGCTCTGGCCCCTCCAGGGGCAGCGTGAATGGGCCCTGGGGACAGAAGCCACCTGACCACCCTGTGGACATGTGGGTACGGCCCAGAAGGGAGGGGTCCCCAAAGTCACCCAAACCCGGCCACTGCCTTGGTCATCCAGGCACTCTGTCCATTCGGCTGGCTGCCCCAGAGGCTCCCTTCTCACAGGCTCTGTGCTGGGTGTGGGGCCCCAGGGCAGGTGGGCAGCGCCCCCGGACTCACGTCATGCAGGGGGAATGCGGCACGGAAGACCCCCTCAGACAGCAGCTGGTCGATCCCAAATAGGCTCTTCTTGTGGTGGCCATATGGGGTCTTGGCCAGGATCTCAAACAGCTGGGAGGGGGGGTATGTCCCTGGTCACTTGTCATGTGGCTGTGGGACAGGGTTGTCTGCAGCCCTCAGTGTTGGGGGGAGGGCTGACAAGGAACGCCCCCCCCGCCAGGGCCTCGTTCTCCCTACTGCCACCACCCCCCTTGGCCACCCCTGGGCAGTGGCCAGTTGACCCAACCTTTGGCTCTCCTCCAGATAGTCAGCATGTCATGTCAGAGTGCACGCGCACACACACACACACACACACACACACACACACACACACACACACACTGCCGGTGGGCAGCTACGGGGCAGCAGCTATGCTGGGTGCCTCTGGTGACCAGCAGGGGGCAAGCTTTCCCCCAGGCAGACTGTTCTGGGTGCCACCAGGCCGAAGACCATGGATCACCCCGGAGGGGCCCTGAGCACCCCTGGGAGGGAGCCACTGGCCTATGTCACATGACCCGGCTCTGTCCCCAGCAGGGATGCTGTGGCTACAGGGTCTGGGATTGGCTGACAGTCCCATGTGTCCCCCTCAATGTTCACTCTATGCCCCCGGGGACAGGGAAACCCTCTGGGCAGTGTGGGTAGCCTCCTGCCCACCTCATCCTGGCTGTGCCCTTCCAGGGCAGTAAGGGAAGTGCCCCCCTTGGGCATCCATTTCTGTGGGCACCAGCCCCTTGCCCCAGGCAGAGGTCACGGCCCTGTGATCACCCACAAGCCTCCTTGCACCTTGGTGGTTGTGGTTGGGGAGGGGGTGGGTAGGTGCATAGGCTGCCCAGAAGAGGCTCAGAGTGCTCGGGGTCAGGCAGGTTCTGCGATCGGAGGTCTCAGGACTCACAATCTGGTGCCTGTGGGTGCTGGTGAAGAAGGTGTCCTGGTTGTCACTCCCCAGGAACCTGTGGCAAACGAGAGAGAAGGGTCCAGACTCACGGGCACATGTGGGACACACACACGTTTTTCCCTGGAGCCCACGGCCTGACACCTGCCCTGCAACTACCACCTGCCACATCACGTTCTCCTAAGACGGCACGGACCCCTGGCCCTGAACCCCACCCCACCCGTGCCCTTGCTCACTCCGCTGTCGTGGGAGGGAGCGTGGAGCCTCGTGCCCTGGCAGCAGTGCATGGACAGCTGGGGCCCTCCCTGGTCTCCAGTGCCATTGACATCCGTCCCCACAGGAGAGCCCCTCGCCTCCACCCTGGCAGCTGTGTGAAGCCTGGTGTCCAGCTGTCCGGTATGTGAGTCAGGAAGCGGCCTGGACTGGCCACAGCCAGGTCCTGAGTCCTGGCCAGGAGATCATGACGACGGGAACTCTGCTGGACCTCAAGGTGCCCAGACAGCAGGAGATGGGCCTCACAGCGTCCAGTGCCAGCAGAGAGGGCTCATCTTCAGCCTGACCAGCCCACCCACCCGGACTGCTGCAGGAGATTCTGGGCTTGAGAGCTGGCCAGGTGACAGAGGTCTTGCTCGCACGGGGCTCCCTGGGCCCTGGGGCACCCTTACCTGCACAGCTTGCTGGCTTTGAACTGACAGGTGTAGTACTCGGAAGGCACGTTGGGCACTTCTTCCTGCAGGATGTTGGGGATGCCCAGGGCCGCCAGCAGCCAGGCCGACCAGTTGGAGGCCTGATTGGGCAGCTCCTGCAAGGACATGTCAGGGGCTGGGTCGGTGCCCGGCTGGCCATGTGCCCACTCGCAGCTCAGGCCCACGGGCAACCCTCCCCTCTCCGATAGGGCTGCCAGGAAGGGGCCCAGCAGGGCCCCTCCATCCAACACTCTCCCAAAGGGCTTCGTCAGCTCCGGGAGCCGTCCTCTCCACCTGGGCAGTGCTGGGGTCTCAGTGGGGCTCCGCGGGGGCCCAGGGCCAGCCTGAGTTGGTTCCAGTAAGCACTGGCTGTCCCACCCTTTCCCCAGCTTGCCCAGGGGTGGGTGGGGAGTGAGCAGGAATCCTCCTGTGTTGTGGGCACTGGCAGTTGCTCCCAGTGGTGGTGGCTTGGGGTTGGGACTTTGAGACCATCCTCTGCCCCCCCACCCCCGTGTGCCCTGAGACCTGTAGTGGTAGCTTTAGGCGCAGGTCTTCGGCGTAGTAGCAGAGCACCGGCCAGGGCGCACTGAGGAGGGTGTAGTGCACGGCCAGGGCCTCCTCCTGAACGTCACGCTGCGGGGGGATAGGGCGGGGCTAGAGCTGGAGGGTCACGTGTGCGTGCACGCGTGCACGTGCGAGGGGGATGCTTGTGCACGTGCACGCATGCACGTGTACAGACACAGGACGGGCGCCATGGGGACTCCCGTTTCACACGCCGACTTTGACGCAACAGAATACCACGTCTTGGGATGGTCAGCGCCTCCCGCCCCCATCCCCCCACGCTTCTTCTCTGCCTTGTTCGCTTGTCTCTCTGAGCCCCCAGTGCCCGGGGCAGTGGTGTCCAGCGACTGGAAGCGCGTGCTGTGCAGTAGCAGGGCACAGGGACAAGGACAGGTCACTGAAGATGCGGAACGCCCACACGGAACCGAGTACCTGGTCCACACACAGCCCGGCTGCGCGGAGGTGGTCCAAAAAGGCCTCCCGCCAGGCCCGGTGCCCGTCTGCCTTGTCTCGAGTGGTGCCATCCTGCGGCCGGCCCGGCTTCAGGTCCTCCTCCCACACGAGGACGAAGTCTGCGGACGACCGGCAGGGACAGAGGCATGGGGGACCAGCCTAGGAGAGCGCGGCAGGTCCCAACCGGCCCTCTCGGATCTGCGGGGAAAGTTGTAGCCCAGCAGCCGGACACTGCTGTTTCTGTGCACCTGGCTTGTAAATTATATCTAACCAAGTTGTTTCCAGTGTCATTGACTGTTTAAACCAACAATAGCAATCATGTTGCTGAGACATACAGTACGTGACACCAGCCAGCCAAGAAGTGGGAGTTTACTGCAAGGTACGGAAAATGATGAAGATAGAGTTTCAAAGGACACTGTCAGCATTTCTAGAGAAAGCATGAAAACAATGGCATGAAGGGTGCAGCAAGAAAGTAACAGAGGAGATAGAATTAAAGAAAAACATTTGATCCAGACAAAAGAAGGCAGGGAAGGCAGTGTAAAAGAAGAAAGGGGCCAATAGGGGGGAAGCTAACAGTGATCTTAAGCCCAACTATAATGCGCTTACACTAAGTGTCAATGATCTAAATACTTGGATTAAAATGCAAAGATTGTCAGGCTGATGATTTAAAAAAAAAGATCTAATTTTAAGCAGTTTATAAGAAACATGTATTTTTTTCAGGCAAGTACATATGTAAATATATAGAGAGATAGATAACAAGAGGGGAATAGAACTATGTACTCATATCTATATGTTAAGAATTATGGTTGCAGATGGACATTGGGCCATGACTCAAGTACTCCCTCAAGAACACTTTGTTCTAACAATCCGGCATTCTGTGATGCTCACCTTCCTGACACCATCACTGAACACAAAGTGGGTGCATAAGCAAATGTGGCGAAGAAAGCTGATGGTGTCCTTCTATCAAAAGATATAGTGTATGGGGTCTGAAAAGCTTGAAGATAAACAAGTGGTTGTCTGGCTCAGAAGCAACAAAGCGCACATGGAAGAAGCACACCAGCCTGTGTGATCATGAGGTGTCAATGGGAACAGGTATCAGGCATCTAAGACCCAGAACAAAATCATACCCAATGTGAATGGGGAGGGGGGCATGGGGTGGA